GTCTAGACTGCAAGCCTCTTTCGAAACAGGCTTTTTCGAAAGATACTTTCGAAAAAGTCTCTTTTGAAAGAGAGCGTCTAGACGGCACGCGGAACTTTCGAAAAAGCAAGCCGCTTTTTCGAAAGAAAGCAGCAAGTGAGTCTGGATGCTCTCTTTCTAAAAAGCCCTGTTTGCTTTCAAGAACGCCTTTTTTCGAAAGAGCACTTTCGAAAAAAGGCGTTCTTCCTCGTGCAATGAGGTTTACCGCCGTCAAAAGAAAAGCCGCGTTCTTTCAATTTAATTTCGAAAGAACACGGCTGCAGTCTAGACGCAGGTGAAGTTTTTTCGAAAAAAGGCTACTTTTTTCGAAAAAAACCCTGAGTCTAGACACAGCCTTTGAGGATAACATTTTCCAGGCTTCTTCTCTAACAGAAAGGGAATTATTTTGGAAAGTATTAGCAAAAAGGTGTTGCTATTTTTCAGTAAGTGGAGAGAGAATGAAATATACCCAAGCTACTACAGGTTGAACCTCTGTGGTTCGGAATTCTCTGGTCAGCAAGCTCCATGGTCCGGCAGAACCATGGATGTTTCTGGACTAGAGAGCCCCAGCACAGAGGTTACCGGTGCTTGTGAGCAGAGCTGGCCAGTGGGGCAGGGGAGCCCACAGGGCACCAGAGCCTGCAGCCAGCCAAGCTGGGAAGCCAGAGCCCATGGGGCAGGGAGGGCAGTAGAGTTCACAGCCGGTGGAGCTAGGAAGACAGCAGGGCCTCCAGAGTCTGCTTATAGCTTATATCAACTTTTGGCGCTATCTACACAGCAGTTATTTCAAAATAGAGCAGTCTTTCCCTGACTTCCCTTACTCCTCATACAATGAAGGTTATGGGAGTTGGAGTAAGAAGCCCATTATTTCAAATGTATTTCGAAATAATGGGCTTAATGCACTACATTATTTCGGAATAACTCTGCTGTGTAGACATAGCCTTTAAGACTAGCTCTTCTGTTTCCATGGTGATGTTTCTGGGAATGCTTAGTTCCTTGAAGAGACAGTCTTTTGGACATTAGAATAAGTGGGTACCAGCTCTTGTTTCCTGTGAACTATCTGCTTTGAAATATATTAATCTCTTGAACAATCTTTGATTCTGAGACTTAGCAGTACCCTCTCTTATCCCCTGCAATTTCTGGGCAAATCTAAAGCACCACTGTGATACCATTAAAAAGTTTTCCTAATGAATAATTAAGGCAGAGGACTGGAGGGCTCAAGGCAAAGTGATGGATAGCAGATCTTTTTCCATTTATATGTCTGGTTTGGCTCCTTCTAGGTAAATAATGAGCAAATATTGATAGGGTCCAAACAGGGTTGGGCGACATGATTAATAGTCTCTGTCCTCATCCTGGAATTAACAGGTAGCAGATTTAAAGGAGAAAGTATGTCTTCACACAGGCTGTGTCCAGACTGCATCCTTTTTTGTAAAAGGGATACAAATTAGACACATCGCAATCGCAAATGAAGTGGGGATTTAAATCCCCCCCGCTTCATTTGCATAAACATGGCTGCCGCTTTTTTTTCGGCTCAGAGCTTTGCTGGAAAAAAGCGCCAGTCTGGACGGGGATCTTTTGGAAAATAAAGCCTTTTCCGAAAGATCCCTTATTCCTTTTTTTAAGGATACAGCCACAATGAATAGTCAACCTGTGGAACTCCTTGCCAGAGGACATTGTGAAGGCCAGGACTTTAAGGCTATGTCTAGATTATGGAACAGGGAATGCGTCTATTTTTTTCAGAAAAGCAGACACATTCTTTTGGAAACCCTGTCTTCCTCATGCCATGAAGAAGAAGGGCTCCTCCAAAAGAGGAGGTTTTTCCAAAATTTGGCCCAGTATAGACAGGCCAATTTTTTGAAAAGCCTCTTCCAAAAAAACTATCAGAAAAAGGTCTGCAAATTGCGTACCTTTTGCCCCCCAAAAATGGTAGTGTAGACCTAGCCTAACAGGGTTCAAAAAAGAATTAGATAGATTCATGGACGATTGGTCCATCAATGTCTATTATCCAAGATGGGCAGGAATAGTGTCCCTAGCCTCTGTTTTCTTTGGTCTGACCCAGTAGCCATTTGAATGTTCTTATGTTCTGGTGGATAGGTGTCTGTATGAAAAAAAATGTTAATTAATAGAAGCCAGCCCCAACACTGTTGTATTTCAGCCCACTACAAATGGCAGAAGACAGAGAACAAGTGTGTGCAATATTTGGAATGCAGCGAGAAGAAAGCTGCCACCACCCATACATCCTTCAGCCTATATAACTTAGGTACTCAACAAAAGCCAACTGACTTCCTAGATAGCATCCTTAACAGTCTTAACAGAGAGCCCAAGGGATCAGAAGGCAACAATATCCTCTCTCCCCAAATGTACTTAAAGTGTTTTGTTGGGAAGCTTATAATGCCGTTGCCCAGGTCATGACTGTAATGTAGATGCGGATTTACGGTTGTCATTATGCTACTTTTGACCAGGACTAAATGAATGAACAACTATGAAGGATTACAATTGTGTTTCTTTTGGCATTATAATGTAAAGGTCACAGGTTAATAGAATTCAGGACACTTGTTCTCACAAAGAAAATAGTTGGCACTGAATATTCCATTTCATGAAACACTAGGGCGTTGGAAGATGAACACTGACACATCTTTGTTCCTTCCTCATCCCGCTTTCAGGCCTCTGTTTAATTGGCGGTAGGATTGAGCCATTGTTTGCTCTGGCGTTGCTTAAAAAACCCCCAGCACTGATCAGATCAAATTAATCAGTCTCAAATGTCGTACGCTCTCACTCTGAGGGCGTGGAACACATTTTTGGGACGGCTCCGTTGGCTTTCGTTGTAAGCAAGTTAGCCAGGGGAAAAATCAAATTTTGATTTTTCTGAAAAGGAGGTAATGGAATCCTGGAACACGTTAGGGCCTGCAAATGTGATTTTAATCGCTTGAAGAAATGTCTTTTGGCTAAAACGTGTTTATGATGCTTGCGGGTTGCACTAAAACCCCTCTCGCCCCCTCACCCTCACAACTGATACTAATTAGCATCCTTGTTGGCAGTTTAAGCAGGAAGGCCAAAGCTTAAAAAGACTGGAGACTGAATTACCCTTGAATTCTCAGGGTGCATCTACACGCAAGTGGTTGCCCACGGCAACAAGAATCAGAGCCCAGGTTGACAGACATAGGCTTGCTCTCCAAAAAATGCCTAGGGCAGGGGCTAAAACTCTGAAACCTAGAGGTGGGGGGAGGGGTGCACTTCAGAAAGTCTATGGACAATGCCCTGTGGGAAGGCTGAAGAGATCCGAAAGGTAGAAGAACATTTTTGTTTGTTCAGAACATTTTAGTTTGGACTCTTGGTACTCCAGAAGAGATTACACTTTTGTGACTTGGCTGGAGAGCAAAGTCACATCTCCCACCCAGATCTGTATCTGGGACACTGAGAAGACCAACCTCAGAGAGGGAAACTGAGGCAGGGGGTGTCAGCCATAGAACACCAAGCCAACATGGCAGTCTGAGATAACTGCACCCTTGTGACAAATCCCAAAGGCTCAAAACCCCACAGTCCCATGGAAACAATCCAGTATGCATATTTATTGGTCTCGTGACGTATTAATATGTAGAGTGAGCAATGCTGCAATTCACCGATGTGCAGAAAACCAGCTTAAGATCTATCCATTCTGGGTCCCACTTAAGCCATTTACCCTAGAAAAAGAATTATGTCCTAAGCCATCATGCAAACATAACCATTCACACAAGTATTAGGAACATAAAGTAACAAGGAATATAAACACGGCCAGAGAGCACCGTGGTATTTATCAGAGTATTTGTGTCCTGCGTTCCACCCATGCTTACTCCTGAATAGAAACCTAATACAACTAGGATAACTAAATAATCTTTCTCTCACCTTTTGCAGGAACAATTGTACTACAAGTTGAGCCTTGCTAGTCCGGCACTCTCTGATCTGGCAACATCCGTGGTCCGGCAAGATTTTAGTTAACTGGATGTCCACTTATCATGGGTGCGGCCAAGTTTCCTGCAGTCCCATAAAGTTTTTTTACAGCCGCCAGTCCTATCTCTCAGTGTTCTGTGCTATTATCTAGCTCTTACTTACCCCCTAAGGGTACATCTAAACTACATGGCTCCATCGACGGAGCCATGTAGATTAGTGTACTCAAAAAAGGGAAATGAAGTGGCAATTTAAATAATTGCCGCTTCATTTACATCAAAAAGGCTGCCACACTGTACAAGGACTTCCCTTGTCAACCGCGGAGCATCCAGACTAACGCGCTGTGCCACCAAACAGCTAATCGGCATAGCACGGCACCCATTTTGATGTAAATAAAGCGGTGATTATTTAAATCACTGCTTCATTTCCCTATGTCTAGAAAGTTCATCTACATGGCTCCGTGGACAGAGCCATGTAGTCTAGACATACCCTAAATGTCTTCTAAGAGTCCAGTAAGCAGCTGAAGTTTTGGTAATGCTGCTAGACCATATTGACCTCAAGTGGTCCAGCAAATTCTCTGGTTTGGTACCGGTCAGGTCCTGAGGGTGCCGGACTAGAGAAATTCAACTTGTATCTGTGTGAAGAGATTATTTTGAGTGTGCATGTACATGTGTGTGTTTAAACATTTGTTCCTGCCATGAGGGCAGGGGACTGGACTCTAGGACCTCTCGAGGTGCCTTCCAGTTCTAGTGTTCTATGATTCTATGAAAATTGCAGCCCTGCTGGACACCCCCAACAACGTGCAGGTTCCAAGATACAGTTGGAGAATTGGCCCTTCAGTTGCTCGCCCATCTGATTGATCTGTTGCCCACATAGGTCAGCGCATTAGGCTACCAGTTGGCTAGTCTCTTTTCTACTGCTCAAAGAGCCATAGTGGACCAAGCTGTGAGAAGCTGAGTCCTGTTCAGGAGTCAGGACCTCCGTGCTTGTGTCCAAAGGAGGAAGGGCCTTCCCCAAGCAGTGTGAGTGATGCTGCTGTTTTTCTGTCCCCGTTTTAGGTCATTTCCTGGGTAACAACACCGTGATTGATGTGCTGAGACAGGCTGGCTTTGAAGTGGAGCATACCCCTGCTGGACAACCTATTGGAACGTAAGCAGCGGCCTGTAGATCCTTTAGCCTCTCTCTCTCTCTCTTTTTCTGCAAGGGAGCAAGGTTATGTTATTGAATGGGGAGGGTGCATTACCTTCTTCCCTATGTAGTGACAGGTCCTTGTTTCAATGGACGGCATCTGAAATGCCAGCAGCTCTACATCGATTGTGCGACACTGTGGCAGTAGGTAGTTCCTGTCACTGGTGTTGACATGGATGCTACTTATTCATGCCAACGGTGCTGCAACCGTTCATGTAGTGGGGGGTGCTGAGAGTCATTGATCTGAACTGCAAAACCCTATAGATGATGGAAACCACTTCAAGGCAGGAGGTGTAGCCGCCCCCCCAGCGCTCTTAGTGCACATGAGATCAGATGCACCATGGTAGACACAAGAACAGGTCAATGCATTGAGAGGTGGTACCATTCCATTGTTAAGAATTACCCTTGTCCTTGTCAGTTTCTTCCCCGGTCAGCTTTGCAACTGCCTCTTCCCCTATCCCTTCACCTCAGCACGTCAGGGCTGTGGCGTATTGCTGGCGATGCACCTGCCATGGAGCTAATATTGATGCTTCTTTATGCTTGGCCCCCCTCTTTTCAAGAGAGGGATAATGATTTTCCTATAAGGGCTCGTGTGTGCATCTGTGTACCAGACAAAGTGCCCACCTAGAGAGGAGTTCTATCCAGGGAAATGCAGCTAACATTGGCGGACATTGTTTCTCCATCAGAGTGTTAGCAAACCCATGTGTAACCCACACATCTACGCTGCGTCTAGACTGGCATGATTTTCCGCAAATGCTTTTAACGGAACAGTTTTCCGTTAAAAGCATTTGCGGAAAAGAGCATCTAAATTGGCACGAACGCTTTTCCGCAAAAGCACTATTTGCGGACAAGCGTCCGTGCCAATCTAGACGCATTTTTGTGCAAAACAAATCTGAGCTCTCTACACTGGCCCTTTTGTGCAAAAGCTTGCACAAGAGGGACTTTTGCCTGAACGGGAGCATCATAGTATTTGCACAAGAACACTGACAATCTTACATGAGATCGTCAGTGTTCTTGCGGAAATTCAAGCAGCCAGTGTAGACAGCTGGCAAGTTTTTCCACAAAAGCAGCTGCTTTTGTGGAAAAACTTGCCAGCTGTCTACACTGGCTGCTTGAATTTCCGCAAGAACACTGACGATCTCATGTAAGATTGTCAGTGTTCTTGTGCAAATACTATGATGCTCCCGTTCAGGCAAAAGTCCCTCTTGTGCAAGCTTTTGCACAAAAGGGCCAGTGTAGAGAGCTCAGATTTGTTTGGTGGCGGTTACAAGTGGTAGCAGTTACACATGCTAGAAATAAGTTCTAATAGCTCAATTCTGAGCAACTTCAGCTGCGTTCCCTCCCTATGGCCTGTGAAGGGCACCCACTCTCAGCTTCTGGCTCCTCAATCATCACCTTTCTTGGGCAGGGGCTTATATCTCGTTCGTGCCTCACTAGGGTTTTTCCTGGCTGCACTGATCCCTGCCTACAATGTGCGATTCCCAGCAAGCTAAATGGCTTAAATAGACCAAAGTCTGTGCTTTGCTTTGGCTCCAGAGGCCATGAACAGCATAATGACCTACCATGGTACATTAGTACATCACTCTGCATCCACAAGAACATTTATTGTTGATGTTAAAAAAAATCCAGAGAGAAAAAAAAATACGAGAACCTAAATGCATGCTAAAAGGTTTACCCAATGTCATCCCAGTTCCAGCCTTTCAGGTGTCAGTCCTTCAAAGTCCACTTCTGGGTTTTACCGACAGGTTACAAGTTCATCACAGTCTCAGATTCACAACCAGCATGGCCCGGAGTAGTTCAATCTTTTCTTTATACAGCTTGGGCCTTTGATCTTGGCCTCTTGTAACAGGTGATTGGAGGACAATGGTCCACTCTTTGGGGAATACTTTCAAAAGGCTGGATTTGTGCATACCCAAAGGTAAGGAATTCACATTCACATCTCCGGAGAAATTCCCGAGGGAAACAGTTTAATATATTTTGATCCCCAAACCCATTTTTGCATAGCACATTCTTCTATATCAGGGATGGCCAACCCATAGCTCATGAGCCGCATGAAGCTCTTCAAAAAGAAAATTGTGGCTCTCGTACCTGTAGCTCATGACTCTGAAAAGGGCAGCGTGTTTCTGTCTGCACGGGATGCTGGTGCAGACTTCAAAATGGCCACTCTTAAAAGTGCCGCGGCTTTTTTTTTGAAGGGGGAAGGTTTGCTCAACAACTTTTTTCCTCAGCTCTTTGTGCTGTATCCACCGTTACTTTGGCTCTTCGTCTGCAACAGGTTGCCCACCCCTGTTCTTTAGAGTCCCTTTAGCTTCTGGCTCTTACACTTCACACATCTCCCCCCATCAAGAGATTACATACAATCATAAGAACATAAGAACGGCCGTACTGGGTCAGACCAAAGGTCCTTCTAGCCCAGTATCCTGTCTGCCGACAGTGGCCAGCACCAGGTGCCCCAGAGAAGGTGGACCGAAGACAATGATCAAGCGATTTGTCTCCTGCCATCCCTCTCCAGCCTCTGACAAACAGAGGCCAAGGACACCATTTTATCCCCTGGCTAATAGCCTTTTATGGACCTAACCTCCATGAAATTATCTAGCTTCTCTTTAAACTCTATTATAGTCCTAGCCTTCACAGCCTCCTCTGGCAAGGAGTTCCACAGGTTGACTACACGCTGTGTGAAGAACTTTCTTTTATTCATTTTAAACCTTTTAATCCCAGCTCACAAGCATATATAAATGATTCATTCAATACAATGGACTCTTAGGATACTTAAAGTTAATTCAATAAGGTCTCTCTAGGATATTGCAGGAAGTTGCCAAAATCTGCCAATTGGTAGCATTTTCCTGTCCTTAGTGGGACTAACAGGGTACAATGCTAAAATGAGGTGAGTTTCAGTATGCAGGAGCAATTGCAAGGTTAACAAATCTTGCCTGGTTGTGCTCTCTGTATATAGACACTGTCAAGATTGATACAGTCCTAACATTTGGCTGATTGAACCTTGTTTGCAAAATTCCTGCAATCCTTCATATGGAATGGGATAAATTATTTTCCTGCATAAGTATCCTTGACGCAAAGTTTATCCTAAATGCCACACGCACAGAGTTTGTTCAGCAATAAAACTTCAGAGTTAAATAATATCAGGAAGAGAGAGAAATGAAAAGGCATCAGAATGAAAGAAGGACATGCGGTCAGTGATGAAATGGAAAGTCACTAGGGACAGAAAGACTGAAATACTTAGTAAATGGGAAGAGTTTGCGGAGTTTAACTGAAAAGAGTCGGAAAAGGTCCTCGCCCCTCCCCCACCCATGGCAAATGTGGATGAAAACAAACTACTGGGTTAGCGTTCATCAAAATTTTAATGAATAATGTTGATGGTTAATAAAAAACATAAAAACAAAGATTCCTAACATTTTGAGGGTTGGGGCTCTGCTTTCCAACAAAAAAAAAGTAAGACCTTTTCCAGTAGCAGTGTCAATTGTTTGAAACCTACTCTTCTTTTTTTAAAAAAAAAGTTTCATTTGAAGATTTTTGAGCAGCCCTAATTAAAACCATAAATTCTTGGTCCTCCAGTCCAAGAGAGTATCACGTAGAACAGAGCCGAACTAAGGTGCAGGCCAACCAGGGTACCGCCTGGGGAGCCTCATTGTAGGGGGCGCCGAACAGGGCTGCCGGGCCAGGCAGCGGCGGCACTGCACATGCTCTATGCACCTGGGGTGGTGCCACGCATGCGCCAGGTGCCCGGGGGTGGCGCCGCGCTCCCGGGGCTCGAGGTGCACAAATGGCTCGGGCCGGCCCTGACGTAGAATTATATGAGAGACTTAGTAAATTGCTGTATTCTGTCTCCTAAACCCATGGTCTCTGTGTTTTTGTTGTTCTCCGCTCCCATAAAAAAGAATCGTAAAAAACTTGCATGTTATGGAGTAGCAAGGATATGAAAGGAGAGGGAGGAGTCCTGTGCTAGATATTTATATGTATGTTAGACAAATAGCTACCAGGGATGGTCAAGGAAGTTTATATAAACTTGCCTCTGCATGGGCAGATGGATTACATGACATCCTGAGATCTCTCCCAGCTCTCTAGTCCTATGATTCTATGTGAGATAGATTAAACTAGGAAGAGTTGTTGTCTAGTAGTATACTATGGAGTTTGGGTACGGCATTGGTGAATAGGGCATAAATGCCTAAAGAGACATAGCCATAGCTGTGGAGATTTTACTCCATGTCTTCACCAAGTGTAAGTCTACACAGCAGCATTATTTTGGAATAAATAACGTTATTCCTCAATGATGAAGAGCATGTCTATGCTGCAAGCTGCTATTTTGAAATAATGTCGAGTGGGAGAACTGTTTACTCTGACTCATGGTAACCCTCATTTCACGAGGAGTAAGCGAAGTCGGAGGAAGAGAGTTCTTCCTTAAACTTCCTGTTGTGTAGACCTGTGGATGTATGGCAGGGAAGAGAGATTATCCTTTAGGTAGCCAACGCATGTGGTTTTCATTATTTTCCTTTCAGGTCTCTAGGTTCCATGTCTCCAAAACAAATCTCGCTTTGCTATTTTCTACATCTCTCACTTGCTAAACGTCACTCTCCATTCGGAGTGATGTTTGCAAATCAGTGTTACCTGTACATTTCATGAACATGCCATTTACACCTTTGTATAGACCACTGGGGTGTGTCTACACAGCAGCAATAAAGCCGAGTTAAGCTATTTCGACTTCAGCTACACGGTTGACGTAGCTGAAGTTGCGTCGCTTAATTCAACTTTATTGCTGCTGTGTAGACGCACCCCCCAGTGGTCTACACAAAGGTTAAATGGCATGTTCATGAAATGTATGGGTAACACTGATTTGCAAACATCACTCTGAATGGAGAGTGACGTTTAGCAAGTGAGAGACGTAGAAAATAGCAAAGGGAGATTCATTTTGGAGACATGGAACCTAGTGACCTGAAAGGAAAATAACG